GCAGTAATACAGTCTTCCCAAATAATAATTTCATGCACTTTATGTAGTTATTTGGTTAGTAGCCAGCTATTATTGCAAATAAAATTAAATAAAACAAGTCTTGAATATTTATTAAAAAAATGTTTTTTGTTAATTTTGTAGCCTCCAAAGGGGATATCTACAAGGATCCAGAGTTATTAAATATATAAACAATTGTGCTAATTATAAGACATGGTTGTGTTGTTTACTGTTGTGATTGTTATTATTTTAAAATGACCTGTTAGAGGATATTAACTTCTGCTCTTATATTACCTCAAAATTAACGTGTTACATTAATCTCTCTGTGCCACTTACAAATTGGTATATTTTGCAGAGAGAAGAGGAGATAAAGTTAATCCCCTTTGCAATATTATAGCGGCAACAGTGGTGACTTTGCATATACGTCAGTGCTATTATGGTACATTACACCACATAGCATTGATCCAGATTACATGTAATGAGGACACTGGACATATATCATTGATCCAGGCCAAGTCAGAAATCAGGCTATAGTATTTGTAATCTGTTACCTTATTGACATGCAGTCCTTCCTCAAGTTGAGCAGTGCTGTTGTTGTCGATATAGGTTTTTCTTAGAAAGGTTTCACTCATTACTAGGCCTGAGGAGGAGAAAAGTGAAGCGAAGGGCTCATGAATTATTGACAAAGACATTGGAAAAATGGCAAACATTCCAGAGAATCCAAAGAAAATTCAAAGATGAGGTTCAAGGGTGATTAAATTTGTGACAGTGCCTTCGCACCTCGGTTGGCAATGTGTGGAACGTGTCGCAAATGGATTATTTAAAATGCACTTATTTATTTATTTTGAAATTCGCCTGAGCAGACACATTAGCTGCGGATAATGGCAGTGATTAATCCTGGAGTAAACAACTGAAAATGCCCTTGCGGAAAAAAAATCATCAAATTCAACCTTCAGGAAAAAAAAAAGAAATATAAAAATGTCCTTTCTCACTCTGTGATAGTTAAAGCAAAGTAAGACAGGCTGGAGATTCATAAATAAGTAAAAGACTCTTCCAGTCTGCCAAATCCCTGTCTGCAGACTTTAGATTAGTACAATGAGCAGAAAAGCAGACAGCACAGGAGAGTCTGCCAAAGAAATAGTACTTGCTGAGTCTCTCTTATATATATATATATATATATATATATATGGATCCCTTTTGCCTTCAGAACTGTCTTAATCAGAGATTTTGGTCCATATTAACATGAAAGCATCATGGCAGGTTGGATCCATGCTTTCATGTTAATTACGCCAAATTCTGACCCTACCATCTGAATGTCTCAGCAGAAACCAGACTCATCAGACCAGGCAACCTTTTTCCAATGTTCTATTGTTCGATTTTAGTGAGCCCAGGCAAATTGTAACCTCAGTTTTCTGTTCTTAGCTGACTGGAGTAACGCCTGGTGTGGTCTTCTGTTGCTGTAGCCCATCTATTTCAAGATTCGACATGTTGTGTGTTCAGAGATGCTCTTCTGCATGCCTCGGTTGTAACAAGTTGTTGGTTGTTGAGTTACTCTTGCCTTTCTATCAGTTTGAACTAGTCTGTCCATTCTCCTCTGACCTCTGGCATCAACAATGCATTTTCACCCACAGAACTGCCACTCACTGGATATTTTCTCTTTTTCAGACCATTCTCTGTAAACCCTAGAGATGGCTGCACAAAAAAATTGCAGCAGATCAGCAGTTTCTGAAATACTCAGACCAGCCCGTCATGTTTAAAGTCATTTAAATCACCTTTCTTCTTCATTCTGATGCCGGGTGTGAACTTCAGCAGATTGTCTACATGCCTAAATGCACTGAGTTGCTGCCATGTGATTGGCTGATTATATATTTGCGTTAACAAGCAGTTGAACAGGTGTACTTAATAAAGTGGCTGGTGAGTGTATATACACATACATATTACGCCTGGCCATTTAATGTTAAATTAGGAAAATTAATTAGTACAGCACATGGTAATAAAATATATACTATTATTTATTGTTTTTTTTAAATAATTTAGCTTATATATATATATATATTAATATATATATATATATATATATACACACACACACACACACATCTGAAGTCACTTGTTGTAAAATAATTTGAATGATTATTTTATATTAAATAGACTAATTATTCTGCGTATTATGCAGTCACTTTAATTATTTATATAAATAATTGATTGACAGCCCCAATATTACAAAGAGGAAAAGAGACAGCAAGTACTCTTTAATAAGCAAGAGGAAAAAAATCTAATCAGGCAGGCTGTCAAAAAACTAAAAAACATAATAAAATATCTCACTCAAAAATGATCAAAAACAGTCCCCGTGCTAACAGTACAAGGCATCAAGGGAAACCAAGTGACCTTTCATTGACTGCCTCGTATCAGGACTGCAGAGAATCCTGGGAGTGTAGCTTGGCAACATTAATGCAGATTGTTCTGTAAATAGATATTTTTATGCCAGTTAAGCCATATAAAAACAACTTGACGCAAGCATTGCAATGTTAAAACTATATGAAAGTCAATGGCCCTAACTGAACTGAACAGCTCTGTATTTGAGTCACACATTCAAGCTAAAGTAAGTGCCATGGTCCCAGTGACACTTAAAAACCTGTGATGCCTTTAGCTTTCTTTGGCGTATTTAAAATCTATTCAACTCTCCCAGGCATTGCTGGCCATCAAAAAATCTATACCCAGGAACACTGCTGTCTGGTCAACCTGGAAGAAAGATGGTTTTGGTTTACACTCGGTCGCTGACCCGATCAGTTTCTGCTCCGCAGGGATACACAGGGCCAAGAACAATCTGTCTTGCAAGCCAGTGTAACGGGAGATGTTTGCAGAGTTGCTCGTTAAACTCAGCATGAGCTATGTTTGATGATAAAATTTGTATTTTTTTTTTATGTTGAAACAACAATCTTCTGTACCAGCTTAACATGCAGAGACTGCAAGCAGTTGAAAGCAATTGAATAGTAGATATTGTAAAATCCAAAAAGTTTAAATATTGTGGCATTACACACAGAAAATGTTGCCATAATTGTTTTCAAATTAATGTACATGTGAGTAGAGCTGCAAGCAGTGATGACGGGCCCAAGCCATCAGCACAATCACCACCCTAGTGGCATTAGGCAAACCATGCACAGCAGACGAAATGCTGAAGTTTGATCTAAAACAAGACAATGTATGCAAAAGTTATTAGGCACTTCCTCTTTCCTATTTTTCATCATAAATGCATCACCTTGCCATGGCCAAACCATCCAAGATATCAAAAAACTCTTTGCAATTTAGCATTCCCTATATCTTGTGATCATGTTGACCGAGTTTGGAGGCAACAGTATATATATATATATATAATAGTTATTAAGATGTTAAGTTAGGTTTAGTAATTGGGTAGGATTAATGGATCTAAAATATGGTCACGCAGAATAAGGCATTAATATGTGCTTTGTAAGTACTAAAAAGTCTTAGTAATATGCATGCTAATAAGCAACTAGTTAATGAGAATTGGACCCTAAGCTAAAGTGTTACCATATGTACGCACACATTTTTGTTATTTTTGTAAAGTAAATCTGGTTACAGTCGCACTAGTAGAGATCCACTGCTATCGTATCCATTTTCAACTTGTGTAATGATTTGGTAATCAATATGACACTAGACCTTCCCCTGGTAACACACCATAGATTTTAGCTGGTCTAGCGGTTCCTGGAAGAAAGAGATAATGGAAGACAGAGTCGAGCATTGGGACTATAATTCTCTTTTCTGGATGATATAGGCTGCCATTTTCTATCTGCAGAATTTCATAATCAAGAGGAAATGATATCCTGGACAATAGGGCAAGCTGGAATGATTGCTGGCATGTACTGTTAGGACACAGAAATATGTATCATTATCTTTGTCAGCCCTTTTTCACTGCTGATCAGTGCATGTGCGTGAGCTCTGAAGACACATGAGCACATCATTCCTGTCTAAAGGGGAGGATGTGTGCAGGCCTCGTTCTAAAGGCCATATCATTCACAAACGCACTTCACAGTGCTCCCAAATTAAATCATTTCAGACACTATGTGACATATTTCATTCCCCAAAGCTTTAGAGATACGCTGTACAAGTCAACCAGAAAGCCTCAAAGTACACTGCAGAAAAAGGATTTAAAATGTGACAAGCTACAGGAAACCACCGTTTGATTAGAAACAAAGAGAAACACAATCACACTACTTTGTAAATGTTGAAAAGGCCTCCTGGGATGCTAAAAATTAGATCTGTACTTTCTCAAAGAGAAGGAAAGAAGAAAATCGAAGGTGTGAAGATTTGTATTCTGATCGGGCTAAATACAGTGAAGTGAAAATCTCTAGCAGGAGCGTGTAGTGGAATATATAGCTAGAAAATGAAGACAATGTAAACCTCCATTTAAATCAAGACTGTTGTACTTGTCAATGCAATATACTGATTGATCATTACATTTGTTAGCATTATAGACACGATTCACTTAAAAGAATAGTTCACCCAAAAATGAAAATTTACTGAAAATTGACTCACCCCTCAGGCCATTCAAATAACAAATATATATCAGGATTTTGATGTGAGAGGACAACAGGGGATGGACTTTTTCACTGAAGGAAGCATTATTCTTGTATTTTGGCCAGAAGCAATTGTTTAAATTATAGATTTGTTTCTTTCAAATGTTGAGCTTTTCACGTCACGAGAGATTAACTGATGGATTGGAGTCATGTTGATTATTTGTGGATTACTGTGCATGTATCAGCTGTTTGTCTCTCATTCTGACGGCACCCATTCACCGCAGAAGATCCATTGGTTAGCAAGTGATATAATGCTAAATTTCCCTAAATCTAAACAAACTAATCTCTTGGGTGATCTGAGGGTATGAAAACTGCTAGCAAATTTTCACTTTTGGGTGAATCATTTCATTATAAACACGTTTCTGGTTTTACTAGTACGTAAACTGTTTTTTCCTTCTCTACTCGCAGGGTCTATTGCAAGATGCTCTTATATCAAGTACCACTACTCCTCGGCCACAATACCCAAGAATCTCTCTTACAACATCACCAAGACCATTCGTCAGGATGAGTGGCACTCTCTATCAAAAAACTCTTTTCAATTTAGCATTCCCTATATCTTGTGATCATGTTGACCGAGTTTGGAGGCAATTGGATGAAAACCCTAAGAAGAGTATCGCAAATACCGCAGCATGCGTTTTTCACAAAAGCATGTTAAGGGTCACAAAAAGCCCCGGATAGTCGAAAAAAAAAAAAATCCTTAGGAAAACAATAGGGCCCTTCTCCCCTAGTGGCTTGGGCCCTAATTAGTAGAATGTAATATTGTAGTATGTGGTATAAATAACATAAAAAGTATAATCAAATCTAATTTTACACTACACTATTAATATATATAGTATGCGTATTATAAAAGTGTAAGTGTAATATAAACATATTTTACCATTTTACATATACATGAGCACATCATTCCTGTCTAAAGGGGAGGATGTGTGCAGGCCTCGTTCTAAAGGCCATATCATTCACAAACGCACTTCACAGTGCTCCCAAATTAAATCATTTCAGACACTATGTGACATATTTCATTCCCCAAAGCTTTAGAGATACGCTGTACAAGTCAACCAGAAAGCCTCAAAGTACACTGCAGAAAAAGGATTTAAAATGTGACAAGCTACAGGAAACCACCGTTTGATTAGAAACAAAGAGAAACACAATCACACTACTTTGTAAATGTTGAAAAGGCCTCCTGGGATGCTAAAAATTAGATCTGTACTTTCTCAAAGAGAAGGAAAGAAGAAAATCGAAGGTGTGAAGATTTGTATTCTGATCGGGCTAAATACAGTGAAGTGAAAATCTCTAGCAGGAGCGTGTAGTGGAATATATAGCTAGAAAATGAAGACAATGTAAACCTCCATTTAAATCAAGACTGTTGTACTTGTCAATGCAATATACTGATTGATCATTACATTTGTTAGCATTATAGACACGATTCACTTAAAAGAATAGTTCACCCAAAAATGAAAATTTACTGAAAATTGACTCACCCCTCAGGCCATTCAAATAACAAATATATATCAGGATTTTGATGTGAGAGGACAACAGGGGATGGACTTTTTCACTGAAGGAAGCATTATTCTTGTATTTTGGCCAGAAGCAATTGTTTAAATTATAGATTTGTTTCTTTCAAATGTTGAGCTTTTCACGTCACGAGAGATTAACTGATGGATTGGAGTCATGTTGATTATTTGTGGATTACTGTGCATGTATCAGCTGTTTGTCTCTCATTCTGACGGCACCCATTCACCGCAGAAGATCCATTGGTTAGCAAGTGATATAATGCTAAATTTCCCTAAATCTAAACAAACTAATCTCTTGGGTGATCTGAGGGTATGAAAACTGCTAGCAAATTTTCACTTTTGGGTGAATCATTTCATTATAAACACGTTTCTGGTTTTACTAGTACGTAAACTGTTTTTTCCTTCTCTACTCGCAGGGTCTATTGCAAGATGCTCTTATATCAAGTACCACTACTCCTCGGCCACAATACCCAAGAATCTCTCTTACAACATCACCAAGACCATTCGTCAGGATGAGTGGCACTCTCTGCGTGAGTAACTTTCATTCATAATAATAAAGTGGGACCGCAACATTCCTCGCTTCAAACAACTAAAGCATTAATATCTCAAACCGCCATGCTAGCTTGACTAAGTTACATTTATAGTACGAACCAGTGTATATTTTAACCTTTAGTGCTGAGACAAGCACTTTGTAAACCGTACAAACAGTAATCATCTCTGACCTAGTGATCTCATTTACTCAGACATATTACTTGCTAAGGTCAAGTCAAAACCAGATATGGAAGTGCAATTTATTTCGGGCAAGCTCTCAGTAGACCTAAAGATGAGGTGATTTGTTGTTGGTTTGTGGAAGGAGGAAGTAGGGTACATATCTCAAAGTCAGATGTACCTTGTTGACCCACTTTTGCTTGGTTCCCACCCTCCCCATATAAAAAGGAAATTATGAAGATGCTTATAGAGAAGTGGTGGAAAAAATGCGCGAATACAGAGAGTGGAGCATTAGTGCGCAACCTGACCCGCAAAAAGCTCAGCAAAACTGTAAAGCCCATTATTCACACATTTTTACACATGCCTCCTCTTGAGGGTTTGTTTTTAAATATGCTATATCTACTATTTATAAATCCATTTTGCTGGTAAAAATAAAATAAAATAAAATAAAAATGAACATATATAAAATATTATTTACATATTACATGCATTAAATGCAATGTATGGTAATTTTTTAGGCATTTACTTTAGTTTTATTTTGCATTTATCTTGCCAGACTGAGTTGGTTTACTCCAGTCTTCAGTGTCATATGATGCTAATATACTGATTTAGTGAAGAAACATTTCATAATATTAGCAACGTTGAAAATGATTGTGCTGCTTAGTATCTTTTGTGGCAACCGTTTTTTCCTGATGAACAAAGTTCAAAAGAATGGCATGTATTTAAAATGGAGATATTTTGTAACATTATAATGTCGTTACTTTCTCTTTTGATACATTTAGATTAGTTTACATTAGTGTCCTTGCTGGATAAAAGCAAATTACAGTTTAGCTTGGGGAACAAATTTTCATTAAAAACAGGACTGAGGAAGCATGCAATACAGCAAGGTTGTCTAAATATGGCTCTTCGGCGTGAAGCGCACCACAATAGAGCTTCTCCTTTCTAGTGGACGTCCACAGTCGTGACACTGGTTTTCACTACAGTTTACAAAATTTACACTGAGTGGGGAGTGTGTATAGGCAGAAGAAAGAGCAGGATTCAGCATGCCCTCAAACTGTCATGTGGTCACACTCCAATGTGCTGCAGAGATCAGCCTGTCAGGTGACTGAAGAGACACCTCTCTTTTAACCCCAAAAACCCACCAGTATCTACACCTCCATGTCTCTTTTTCCTCATTTTCCAAAGCTTCAACATGGAGGGTTATGAAAGCAGAGATGCATGAATGACACTGCAAGAAAGAGACTTGCACTCGACCGCTCTCAGTGCAGTCGAGTGCAACAGATGAAAGATCTCTGTGGCACCCAACATTTCTTACGGTTTCTATTTTGTGCACAGTATCTGGTTCACGTGAACCTGTAATCCTGTAAATTTACTTTTTGATGACCCCAGACCCTAGCAAGAAATCTTGCAGATGGAGTTATAGTTTATGTCAAAAGTTAAAATCTGAGCCAATAGAATATTATATGAGCCATAATATAACTAATAAATGGCTGATGTTAAAATTCTATTCTATTTTCTCCAAATGAACTGAAAATAAAATACTAAAAAACAAAACCAGTTGTTTTAATTTTGAATGAATGAATATACACTACAGTGCAAAAGTTTGGGGTTGGTTAGATTTTTATTTATTTTATTTATTTATTTTAAAGATAAGATAAGATCTCTTTTGCTCATCATGGCAGCAATTATTTGATCAAAAATTAAGTAAAAACAGTAACATTGTGAAATATTTTTATGCTTTAAAATAACTGTTGTCTATTTTAATGTATTTTAAAATGTAATTTACCACCGTGATGATCACATGTTGCTTCAAAAATCTTTCTAATATGCTGATTTGGTGCTCAAGAGACATTTCCCATTATTATCACATTTGAAAACAGTTGTGCTGCTTAATATTTTCATGCAACATAGGAAACTTTTTTTTTTCAGGATTCTTGAGAAAGTAAAAAAAACAGTATTTATTTGAAATGTCTCTTTAAAGATGAAAAATCATGTAATAGTGTACGTCTTTTCTGTCATTTTTGACCAATTTAATGCCTCCTTGCTGAATAAACGTATTGATTTCTATCAAAAAAATTTGACTGGCCACAAATGTTACATACACCTTGTATATTATATAATAATATATAAGGTAATCAATGTTTAAAAAAAGGAAATAAGCATGCACAATTAAATATCCAATAAAGAGACACCTAATATCGACTAATAACCAAAACGATTCTGATATATTGTGTATGGTCTCATACACACTTGAGCTTAGATTACAACATGTTCACATGGTATTTAGAGTCTCCCAGTGTGTCTGTCATTTGATCCAAGCATTCTGACCTATACTGTAAAGAAAGACATGGAAGGGTCAATTTTTCGGTTAAGGTCAGGCTGAGATGTTTAATGTTCTTAGTACGGCTTACACAGCAGCTCCAACAAATCAAACAGTCCGATGAAATCCATTCCTCTGGTGAGAGAACCTTAAATGTAAAACTAGGGCTGTGCAAAAAAAATCTAATGTGATTTTCATGCGCATCTCGTCAGCATCTCGATTTTGTGTAGCTTGTCAGTGAACTACGGCTCTGTGTAGTAAATGCCACTCCATCCGAACGCACGTGCTGGAGATTTACTACTAATCACAGGAGCGGCTTTACTGACGAGATGCGCATGAAAATCGCATTTGATTTTTTTGCACATCCCTATGTAAAACAGAAAAAAAGAATTAACAGAAGACATGGCCTTTAAGGCTTTGACTCCACTGAGTGCCATATTGATTTTGGGGATGCCAAGAGAGGTCAGGAGATCAAGAACTCTCTATTAGTGGACACTGAGAAGTAAATGACTCTAGTATTGTCTGGGAAATGTGTCTGAACCTGGGTAACACTGCCAGAAAAGGCTCAAAAAGAATCCCTAGGTGTCTCAACCGGCCACTGGTGAAGGCGTGAGATCAAAGCTCGTGTTTTGTTGTGATGTCTAGAATCAACAGAACAGGTAACGCTCAAGCGTCACGGCAGCTTGTGTTGTTTTTGCTTGTGTCTCGCTCGGATGAGAACCGAGACCTGACATTTCATAAAGTGTGTGAAATTGAACAAAGGGAGGTTAGAACATTTCCTGCGCTCTCATAGTGCTTATCTGCTCGCGAGTGACATCAGCAAAACTTCAGAAGGCTGTGGGATATACACAACACTCATTTGTACTTGTCAGTCAACACACCAGGAAACCGACTATACCAGCAAGAAAGTCACAAAAGACAACGCAACTTCTATTATATGGAATATGAAAGCAAAAGATGAGAGTCCGTCGAAGCCAAAATCACTTGTTTTTAGCGATGGACGGCATATTCAGCTCAAAACTGAAAATGCTTTTGGCTTTTCGGCTTTGGATGAAGACGGCCTGGTTCAATAACTTCAGCAGCTTAGGGATTTTGTAAGATCAAAAGGAAGCACCAAAAATAAGCAGCAGGAAGCTGTCAATGAACATGACAGGAAATAATCTGCCGTGATGCGTAAAGGTGCCCAAAGAGGCGAATTATGATCTTGGTTTCCAAATCCTCCAGATCGCGGTGCACTCAACTCAGAAACTGCTTAGTGCTTCAGAGACCAAAGAGAGTCAAGCATTGGATTTAAAAAGCAAAAGAAAAGAAGAAGAAAAAAATCTAAAGGATTTTATAGAACTAGTCTATTATTAGGGTCAATCCATTAAAAATATTAATGTAATCCAATCAATTACATGATATGCTTAATATGATATGCTTAATCAAATTAATTGCAATTAAACACACATCATGCAATTAATCACATATCAATATTTTCATCATGCAATTAATCACATATATCAATAATTGATTTTAATTACATGAGTAAATTAATGTATTCATGAAATGTTTTAAATGAGAATTAAATATCAATCAACTAATCACATATCAATAATTTTAAATTAAATTAAAATTAAACATGTATTCATGTATTTAAAATATTTACGTGAATTTAATTAATTTCAATTAATCACATCAATACTTTTAAATATAAAAAATGAAAACATGAATCAAAATTTGACTAATTGAATTAATAATATTACATGCAAGTTACTTAAACACAATAAGTCGCATATCACATAAATAATCACATAAATCAGAACAAATTGTATTTAATTTAAATAACATTAATTAAAAAAATATCAAATTTATTAAATGATATGCAGTCAATATATTGATATTGCAGTTCATTTGATAAATAATAATTTGTCAAAAATCACATATATTGATATCATTAGCTGAGAAAAGCCCCAAATGAAGATTAAACAATGGCATTATGTTATAGTGGCAGACAAAAGTGTTTTAAAACTTGACAGCTCATATTATTTTAAAGGGACAGTTGACCCAAAAATAAGAATTCTGTCATTAATTATTCAATCTCATGTCGTTCCAAATCCGTAAGACCTTCATTCATCTTCGGAACACAAATTAAGATATTTTTGATGAAATCCGAGAGCTTTCTGATCCTGCATAGACAGCAACACAACTGACATGTTCAAGGCCCAGAAAGGTAGTATGGACATCGTTAAAATAGTCCATGTGACATCAGTGGTTCAACTGTAATGTTATGAAGCTAAAAGAATAGTTTTTGTGTGCAAAGAAAACAAAAACAACAACTTTATTCAACCATTTCTTCTCTTCTGTGTCAGTCTTCAGTGCCAGAAAGCTCTCAGATTTCATCAAAAATATCTATACCGAAGATGAACGAAGGTCTTAACGGTTTGGAATGACATGAGGGTGAGTTATTAATGACAGAATTTTAATTTTTGGGTGAACTGTCCCTTTAAAGCTACGTATTTT